CCATTAAAGTGTGTCTATCTACACAGTGTCAATTCAACTATTTGAATTTATATTTGTTTATAATTATTTAGTCGTGTTTCGCGTTATTATTATATAACAATTATTGTAAATACGTATTTTAAATAATAACACTAGCTGTCCATAATATACCATAATATATGTGCCTCTAAAATTATACAATAGCATATATTATACAATATAATAAAACTGATTTTGGAAAAATATACTTGCTTGTATTACTACCTATTACACTTCTGAAACTAAAAATCCGATGGCCTAATTCAGGCGCTATGAAATTAACACGAAAAATACCCATTCTGTGTAGAATAACAGATATGTCTTATTTTTATTAAGTTAAGACATAGACAAAATTGTGACCCAGTATTCACAGATTTACATCGAAACATTTTCCTAGATGTGTGATTAAATAGCAACTATGCTTCTACAGAACTACTTTTGCTATAGGAGCTGTCATCTTATAACTTACAAAGATTATAAGCGAATTCATTTTTGTGGTTGCTAATCTTAGGCGTGACTTACAGTTTTTATTGTTAATATTAAATAGTATTACAATAACAGAACAATTCATGGAAAAGGGGGTAAGTCCACAACTATGAACTTCACAGGAAAGGAAAATAATGTTTAGAAAACTATGTAAGATCAGGTATTAGGATAAGATAAATATTTTTTAATAGGATAGTATAACAACTTGTTTTGTACTTTCCTGTGCAAATTAGAATTCATAAAAACGAATAATTGCTTATATACACTGTGCTTAGTTTGGACTGTACTGGCTTGAATATACAAACTACAGATTCGCATTGAAGCGTTTATTCGAAAGTGATTTTATCACTTTCAGATGTAATAATTCCTGTAAACCTGTCACCTCCCGTCCCCACCATGCTCCGTTTTTTTTTTTTTTAAACTTGGGTTTTCTTTACAATGTACCAAACTGCTTAAAATTTTTTTGTTTTCTTAATTTTAGAACTTGGTTATTGTTAACAAAACGGTATACTATGACAGGTATTTTTTGTATATTTATCTCAATTTGCAATAATAGAAAGTATAAGATATTTTATCGTCACGTAGGTTTAAACTGAAAATTTAGATTAGCAGCGGCAAACAGATGTTATTTTGGATTGGTTCCTCTATTTAAATCAAAGATTCTATCATGAAAGACAAAAATAACGTTGTATACATTTCTGAGTGAGACCAGAAGCACTGTATGCCTGTGGCGCATCGGCAACATCAAAGACAGATACAAATAAACTAGGTACTTTTGAACGAAAGGTCCTTAGAAGGATATTTGACTACAGATTTTATAGTAAAATGTTATGTTACAGCCCCATTCCATATCTACCTTCGGCTAAATTTTCAGACCTTTAATCTTAAAATATATACATTATAGTATTATATTTATACTTAATAGTCTACTCAACTGTTTAATCAGTTTAAATTAAAAAAAGTTTATTTGAAGTCATTAGTAATTAATATTACTGTATATGAATTAAATATGAATAAAATATAGCTAATATGCATATTTTGTGAAAATTTACATGTTATTTTGAATCGAGTAGACTCTACACGCCTTATAGTGTATAAGATTGGCTTAATCAAATATACGTTATACACATATGGTATTCCTCGTTTAATCATACACTATATTCTGAACTTTGCATCTCGAAGTAACCATAAAAAACACTAAAGTCGAAATGTTTTAAATTTTGTTTTTAAATTGTATATGCAACAATTAGCCTTAAAAAACGAATATCTGATGGAATATTATTTCTTATTAGCTTATTTTATGTGAACTTAAATGCACATAAGAATTGTTCCGGTTAAATTATCAATGATGCATAAAAAACCATAGTCTACAAAATAACGTGCTAAAATTGTATTTTTATTAATAAGGTGGATGCAATTAGGATGGATAATTTTTCTATTTAAACTGTCAGGTATATAAATATATATATAATGCTACTGCTAGGTCTTTATAATAAAATCTATATAATTTTCAAAGCCTAAGTCTAAAATTATATTAAATCTTCTAATCCGATTGAATTAGGTTAAATCTCGAATTCAAATCGAAGACAAACAATATTTGTATGAAACGTACTTTATCGCTTCTTATTGATGGCGAAAACAAAGGCCTTTAAAACTAATATACATATGCGAGACTATGGCTTTTATATCAAAAATAAATAATGCAGCAAAAAAAAATCTTTGTGTAAAACGCTTATACCTTCTAAACTAAGCAAGTAAAATGAAAAACAAAATATGTTTTAACGATTCACACCATTATATTCAAAAAAAGAGATATCATGGACAAAATATATTGGGCTATGAAAAACCAGACAAAAACCTTTGGTTATTATTTAATTAAATAAAAAAAAAATAATTTTAATCCCTACTCAGTTATTTTTATTCGGTTTTGAAAATATTGTAAATAAATAAAGATAGCACTATTAGCTCCCTATTTAATGTTGACAGGTGAAGCTTAAGTGTCATATTCTAAGCTTTAATAAAAACAATGGAAAACAATTTACTAACCTCTCTGGGGAATAGGGTTTTAACATGGATATGTCTTACAACTGAGGGTCATTCTGAAAATGTATTTAATTTAATTATCTCACAGTGCTGACGTCATTATGGATTATGGAGTAGGAGTATGGGGGAAGATTATGAAGGTGAATTAGTAGAGATAGCGGATAAGACTTATTATATTAGAGATAAGATATTATAAGAGATAGCAGGACACATCCATGTATAATAGATACTGTTAACTTTAAAAAAAAAATTTTTTTGGGTTTTAATTTGAACATAGGCATAGTTAAGTCTCAGAAATAGAGGAGGGGCTCAGTTCAGTCCCAGCATATTTTTTTCAAAATACTTTTGAGCACTCCCCCATCCCTTTCCCCCTCGTGTGGGCAAGTGTGACACTTTTACAGACAACAATTAAATTAAGTTTTAGATAATTTCATTAATTTATCAAGTTTAAATTTAAATGCTTTTACTGGAATAATTCAGCCCATGAATAAAATATTAAGTGTTCCACTGAAAGTGAACACATTACAAGACTTCAGTGAAGCCTTTTCTCTTTTCCCTCCTATGACTCGTGGAGCCAAACTTTTAGATTATGATACAGCAGCAGCAGAATGGGAAATTCTGGGTTGACAATGTGTCAATGAAAATATAAAATGCACAGATGTCCTTACCTTGGCCTAATTGGTTTTGCCGTCATTCATTTAATTCTCCACTTACAACAGCTTCCACTGAACGAACTTTCAGTAAGTTAAGACTTATTAAACATAATTTACGTTCTAAGATGACTTCAGACCGCCTTAACTCACTAATGATATTGAGTTGTGAAAAAGATATTGTTGATGAAATAGACATAGATGTGTTACAAAATGGTCTTCAGCCATACAAAGAAGAATACAAATTTAAAGTTTAATATTGTATTATTAGTTCACTGTTTACTCTTTTACACTCTTTTTATTATTATTTTAATTTAATACTTACATTTAATAAATGTATATTTTTTATGTATGTTTAAAAGATTCACAGTTATCGTTATTGGGTATTGCATTTTTTGTACTTTTACCTTTCTCACACTGCTAGGCAACAGCTATAGGTAATAGGTTTACCTTATATAGATTATATCGTATGTATATATATTAGTAAGATAGATATAATACATTTTTTTTACTATAGGAATGTGTAATTAATAATTACACGGTCGGCAGATTTATCCTTGGAAGTCGGCAATATTCAATCCCAACCCCCCTTAAAATTAACTCTAGGATCGCCCCTGCAAGTGTCTGGAAAAAAAATGTTATAATTTGAGCAAACGATTCTATTCACCAGATGCATTTGTTATATTCACTCTTTTTTACCTAACCTAACAGGACCTTTATTTTAGGCGTTCGAGTTTTTAAACGCAGTTTTGAACCTAAATTGGGTTTTGTGTTTCAGTGACAGTTACCTACATGACGTTAACCGTTTTAAAACATGTTTTATAAACGATACTATACTTGTGGCATATAATACCACACTAGGTTATGTGTCAATATATTCTGTGTGTGTTCAGTATAAAAACACTCGGTATATGCACATGAACATCGTAAATAGGCGATTACATAGTTATTATTTCCCAAATTTTTGCAATAATTTTAATAATGATAATTCCATCTACCGCATCAGCCTTGTGGAGCCGAAATAATAATGATTAAAACATATATCAGCCTAAAAATAATTCACATTTTGGCCTACTGTAAAACATTCATATCAAGAGCAGCAAAGGACATAATAATTTATTTTTTAGAAATTTAATAAAAATAACAATTAATTTTCGGTGACTAAAAAGTAGTTTAATTGTAGATATCAAAATAATTTCTATAATAAAATTTATTAATAATTATAAAATATAATTTCTCAAACATGTCAAAGGCCATTGTTATTTATTGGGTTGTATTGATTACTAATTAACAGTAACATTAGTTTTTTTAAAAATGGGACTGATAGAAAAAATATGTTAAATATCATTGTTTTTTTTACAATGTACCATACATTTAATGTACCATACTGCTTACAATTATTATTTTGGTTTCTTGCTTTCAGAATTTGGTTATTATCAACAAAACGGTATACTATAGCCGATATTTTTTTATATTTATCACAATTTGCAATAATATAAAGTATAAGCTATTTTACCGACGCGAAGGTTGAGTTGAAAATCGATTCATTTGCCGTTAAAACAAACTTGTTTTTGTGTTTTTTGTTGTTGTTGTCGTTGTATTTGTACAAATGTTTCGAACAGTAAAATGGTTTGCTGAAAACAATTTGTTTTTTATTCGATATAGGTCTTTACGGTATAGTCGATTGGTCCACCATTAGTTTTCATTGCATTACGTGTATTATTGCTTTGCAAGAAAAATTCTATAATACAAAAAGTATAGCAAGCTAATTGAATTCATATATTTTTAAAAAATTATATTTGATTGACTATTTCATTAATATTATCCAAAATTATGAAAGTTTACTGCAATTTAATTTTAATAACGCTTGCCATTGTACACGTTCCATCAGTAATGACAGGTAATTATTTTATTTTTACAGGTATCTTATTGTAGTAGTTAAAAATCTTAAAAGAAAATTTCATTTTTCCTCACAGTGAATTATGCAAACTCGGTTTTACTTACAAGTCAGTATCAGTTTTTCATACAAAATGATTTTTTTTTATTTGATCGTTTTAATAAAAATGTTTGAAATAATGTTTTGCAGACAAGCACATTGAAGAAGCTTATAGAATAAGTAAGATACATTAAATATTGATTCTTTGAGGATTTATAAACTACTACCTACAGTTTTTTTGGTTTGTTCAGAATATGAGTGAATGGGGCATTACAAATACTATGTATAAGAAAATCGAACACTTCATATTTTTACTCAAAACAGCCGTTCCTATAATTTATTTAGAATATACTTAGCTATTGACAACTACTATTAAACCTATTTGGTTGAGTAGCGTTAAGTTAATTAGTCACCTGAAAGTATTGTGCGTTCTACTTGCCTGGGACGCTTTAATTATTTCTTTGTAAATAGTTACTACCGCTGGTGTCCGGTTATTTTTATTCAGTTGGTTTTTTGCATATTTTTAGAGCCTGAACAAGTTTAAAAGGATTTTAACTACTCTAGCCTTTACCCCCTCTAGTTGCACCAATGATGATCTTAAAAATATTCTTCTATTTGCTCCTATCATCTTTGTACAATTGATGACGACACTCCTACACTCACCAATCGCCACATGTACTTTTCTATTAACTCCTTGATTCTATCTCATAAATTTATTTCATTTGGCCAAATCAGTCCTCTTCAATGCTTGGGTCAAAAAATTATAGCCTTCCCTTCCTTCTAATTTTGCGGAATGGCATCGCCTTTCTTCCATTGTCAGCTCTTTTAAGGTGTTTACAATGTCTGCAACCATTCATATCCTACACATTTTCTAGGGGTTTTCCTTCTATTCTCCCAACCCTATATTCACCTGATGTTACTAATCTGTTCTCTCATTTTATCCTAACCAACTTTCCTCGTTTCTGTTTAGTTTTTACTGATGGGTCTGTTTCTTCTTCAAAGTCCACTCTTTAGCTAAAGCCACATCTTCATTCCAACTCATAATTTCCAAAGCTTTTTATTTCTTTAAATCAGTCCTCTCCAATGCTTGGCTTGACAAGTGGTCTTCCCTTCCTCCAAATTATGCAATGTACCATCGGCTTGTCATCCCTAGTCCCCTCAGTTACCTATAGTTCCACAATTTGGAATTACCCAATAAACTTAATTTCTTCTTCTCGCTACTCAGATTCAAACATAACTTGCTACCTGCTCTTGCATATAAACTGTTTCTCAACTCTGCCCCTCTTGACATTTACAAGTAAAGGAAGACTTTTGGTGATTTTCCATAGTTTTTATTTGATTGTCTTCTCTATCAAGATCTTTCTATTTATTTTTCTAACAGTCAATGATTATATACTTAATATTTATATTTAAAAGAGCCGTTTCCTGTAATTTACTTAAATCATACTTGGCTATAAGCAATTACATAACGGATAACCAACAGATTGAGTAGCGTTATGTTAAATAGTCACCTTAATATATTATTCTGTACTATCTATTTATCAACATTTTTATTTATAGTTTTACATATTATTATGATTTTATTTTATTATGAACTATTTGCTTATAGATCCTGCTGGACTGAAGACTGCCATTCAAAATATTATTAATGGAGATGCAACAATGGGTAGTCATTTTAATAAAATAAAATTAAAAAATATAGATTACTTGTAGAAAATAAGGGTTAAAAAAATCCAACATCATTAATTAAAATCAACTTATACTAATCTTTTTTCAGAGAAAATTAATATGATGTGGGCTATACCGGGTAATAATATTCTTTAGCTGCTTGACAATTATCAATTAATAAATTAGGCATAACATATTTTCGTTTTAATTTCAGATGCAGCATATCTTTTCTACTTACCCAGTAACCTATTTATACATTTTATACTTCACACTATTAATTTTTTACACATATTCTTATTTTTTTTACACATACATAAATAAATATATATATAAGACTGTTTAAATTGTTTTCTATTTTTTTTAAGGCTTACACTTATCAAACGATAGTAGCCTACATAGGTTGGGAAATTCCTCACCAATAGAACCATAGTTAAATTCTATGTAGTACCTACCTTTAGTTTTAAATGTTATAATATAATATGTATCAACCAATGGTAGTAAATTGTGATTTTTTAAATGTATTTCACATAGAATTTTTAATTTTTAATTTAAAAACTCTAAATATAAACTAATTATTTTTTTTTTTATGAAAAAAATTCTTAAAACTAAAATATGATTCTTTAAAAATCGTTGGAAGGATATTCCGAAATAATTTTTTAAAGTCATCTAGTTTTTTCAGTTTAATTGGGCATTTTTGTCCTTGTGATATTAGAGTGTCATAATTCAGCAAGGAATTGGGAAGGGGGGGAGGGTTAAAACAAAAAAATGGTGAAAATTGATAATCACATTGCATAAAAACACTATGTAAAGAAAAAATTGAATTTCTTATTAAACCCAGTGAAATATTGAGTGGTTCACCTTGTGTATAGTTATATAACTCATGAGAACATGTATTATTTTGTTTTTGTATTTTAGAAGTGACTGGAAATGCTGAATATAAGGCAGCGAAAGAAGAATTATTGCGTTTTAAAAGTAATATATAGCTTAACACTATTACAACAATCTTACGAACAATTTTCAAAATTAATAACTACTCAATTTAAACTAAATACGATAAATATATTATTAGAATTCAAAGTCATTAAGGTATTTTATTTTTTGTCTTGGTGATCGTTAGCAATATAATTCAAACCTGTCTATAACATTTAACTTTGGTCAAATAGTTTTTGCTTACTGTAAAATAGTTAAAATGTTTATTTATTATTTTTTACAGATGGCCATTTGCTTCGACTTGGCCATTATGATGGTAATAAATCATTTATTGACTGACGTATACATAGTGATTCATTTACCATAACCAGTCAATATCTCACTGGGTTTAATAAATAATTGTGAAAAATTGAGATCACGTTTTATAAAAACATTATATGAAAAAAAATGCAATTATTTATTAAACCCAGTGAGATATTGACTGGTTCATGATAAAAGAATCACACCTTATAACCATAAGGGCATTAGATTATAAATATAAATTTATAAAGCTTAACATAATGTATTATATTGCTCGATTCTTCAAAAAACGATTATTTTTAAAAATTAAGAAAAATGTTGATAAGTTTTTAGGTAAGAACTTTCTAAATGAAAATTAAAAATTTTCCATGTTAATTAAATAAAAAAAAATAAATACGATGCATTACTAATAATTAAGCAGGGAATCTGAAAATTTAGGAATTTTTGATTTGTAATGACTACTAAAAAACTGAGGAGGAATGGAGGAGTTGGAAAAATCTAATATATTATTATTTTTATCATAAGGAAAAATGTATTTATTTTTATTTTAGAAATAAATGCCGTAGCTGAACAGGAGGCAGTGCGAAAGGAAATAATAAATGTTACAAGTAAATATTATATAGCTTAACATATTTTCAACTATTTCCTAAATTACTAATTAATCAGTTTTAACCAAATAAATAAATATATATACTAGAATTCAAAGACTTGAAGCTATATTATGTTTTTTGTACACATCACGATGATCGTTTGTAATATAATTACCAGTGTACAACATTTTACATAGATTCAACGGTTTTTGTTTACTTAAGATAATTAAATTATTTTTTATTTTTCGTACAGATATCCCAGTGCCGGAATTTGACCAAACCAAATGTAATGAAAAAATTTACTGACTTACGTATAAATATTTTAAATTGTAAATAGAAATTACTTTAATTTAAAACAAAATCTTTCACTCAAAATAAAAAAAAAAATTCTACTTCATATCTCTCAAAATTGGAAGTATAGACAATATTTTACCAAAAATGGCCTATTTAGGTTTTACTTACTGATTGCGAGTTGTACAAAACAATGTTACAGTACATTTAAGTGTAATGCTGTATTTATCTCACGAGCATCCAATTTCTTTTTAATAATAATTATTATTAATAAATATTGTAATTTATTTATGTTTACAGATATCAGTAATGATTTATTGCCCCAGCTTGGTGAAGAAAGAAGAAGTATTATTGCAGAAGTTGGAAAAACTTTACTTCTCGCTGAATTAGGTAAATATTTATAATTACCATAGTTTTACTGGTTTGGCTTTTACATTTTATAATTATTATGTTTTATTCTCAAATATTAAATTAATAAAATAATTTCGTTTTGAATATACATTTTTTTTAATAATAATATTAATAGCAATATCATAGATTCATTAGCACACAGTAGTACACAAATATAGTTTTAGTACAAAACCTTAACTCTGTGGAAGTTCCTCCCTTTCTTTTTTCGGTCAATATGCCCTTTTCTAAAAATTAAATATATTTTAATTTAAAATAAAAAACTATACCTAACAATTAATTTATTAAAACAGCTCCTAAATTTTCAATAAAAATAATCATAACAGTTTTTCAAATAGTTATTTAAATATTAAACTGCAGTTATTCTTTCTTAAATGTATTTTAATATATTTTGTTGAATAATAGGTTATAGAAAACGGTGTATATTTCATTAGTAATGTGATTATCTTTCTATGATTTTGTTCTTATACACGTGTTTTAAACAAAAGAAGTTTAAAGATAAAATGGGCAAGTTTTTAAAAAAACTATTATTTTTAATTTTAGAGAAATTTAATGAAAAACCAGAATCCGTCGATTTCACCTATATGTGTCGTCTAATAGGTTTGCTCAGAAGTACAAAATCTCCATATGCATTCACAAAAGACGTTTGGGTTCCCTCTAAATATGTTTGTATGTTACTTTCATTTGATGGCATACGTTACAGATACAAAGAAGCTTTCGGCAAAATTGTTGTGGAAGTTCCAATCGTTCCCAATACTTATGTTTCTTTAATTGAGGATGATAGAGATATTTGGTAGCCGTAATATACACCAATAAACGTATATAAGCTTTAAAAAAATTATATAGCACCTACCGTTATTTTTTCTTTAATAATATTTAAATATTGCACTTATATATAATTTGTCAATTAATTCAATGTTTTCATAATATACAATTTTACATAGTAATATATTTTAATACAATTAATGGTATGTAATTTTATTAAATTATATCCATTGGAGTGTATCTATATATATACAGTGACAATTCGACTATTTGAATTTATATTTGTATTAATTAATTAGTTGTGTTTTGCAAAATAATAATTATTGTAAGAAACGTATGTTAAATAGTAACACTAGCTGTCCATTATATAATACAATGTGTGCCTCTAAAATTATTCAATAGTATATATTATACAATATAATAAAATTGATTTTGGGAAAATATTCTTGCTTGTATTACACTTCTAAAACTAAAAAACGATTACCTAATTCATAGACACTAAAATGAACACTAAAAATAACCATTCTGTAAAATAACTCTTTTTGAATATTTTTTTAACCAATTATGCTAATCTAGAAAAAACTTAAGCACTGTTATTATGCTGTTGTGCTAATGATTAAACAAGGAATTGTTAACAGCGTTAACAAAAGCGCTGAGATGATTTCTTCACGTAGCAAATCTGTAGATAAGAAATCGTATCAGCAAGACATTTTATTCGCCCAATAAAATTGAAAAGTTTACACATTCCTCTTAACATCCATCATCGATCGGTCAAAATATTCAGCAAATTATTCTTAATTTTTAAAAAGAAATTAATTTTATACGTTAAAATTTAAGTTTCTAAAAGTTGATAAAGTTGTGGAAAAAGATAAAAAGAGGTTTGATTTTAAAATTGTTTATAATATTGTAAAATAAGATAAACGAAAATATTTTCAAAAAAATTAACTACAAAATTGCTGTTATTCTATAAAAAAAAATGTCAAAATTGTTGTCGTAGCCTTTATGAATCACCCTTTTTGCTTACTTTGTATTTGTATTTCAATAGTATACCTCGCCTCGTGGGATTTCGATAGTCAGCACACAGTTAATTTTTTTTTAATTTCCCCTCCAATTTATAATGTCACCGCCATCTTAAATATTTTTATGAAAATTAATAAAAAAACAGCTTCTTGCTTTAAAGTACCACCGAATCGGGAATTGTTTTTATCATTTAAACCAAAAGGAAAATCAAATATTACCAAGTATAGTTTCTTTTTTTTCCTCTTTAAGAAACCATTCACTATCAGTTACAAAGAAATACTTTTTAATTAAAAAAAAAAAACTAAATGAAAACACTAATTGTGCTCATCCACCTTCAAACTATGATGGAAACGTTTGGTTTGAGTGTCCAATACTGTAAAAAACAATTTTTTTTTTCATTTCAAACATTTACACTTTTGTGTTCCACTCAATTTCAAAACATTTTTGATAACGGCGGCAGTAAACATTTCGTAAAATCAGGGATTGTACTTAAAATGTATTTAAGTACTATATTGTTAAAAACAGAGGTTTTTGTATAATTTCGCACATCAGCACATGTGTTTCAAAAGTGATACCTAGTTCAAAAGTAAACAAAAATTGAAAAATATGATTTTATTTTAAAGTATTGTTAACCTAATTCTTGCCTAGGTTAGGTTAACTCGAAAACACAATAGTATGTTAAACAAAGTTAGTGCTTACCATTCTGTGTAACATTTGAGTAAATGTGTAACATTTTTGGTGTTTATCATACATTGCCGTAAACTAAAAGGTATTAACAATGGCCAAAATAATTGTAAGTACAAATAATTGTGGACCTAATGTCGCGCAAAAAAAAAATATCTAATAGTGTTTTACTTACAAATATTCTTTGTATCGAATACTAAATAATATATAAGTAAACTTTATTTTGTATTTTTTTTTTATATTATCAGAAAAAAATTGTAAATTCCTATAAAAAAATAAAATAGGTAAACCATGTACAAAATAAAATGATTGAAGTTGTATATGGCACACATTAGTGTTATAAACGATCATAAAAGCAATAACTGAAAAGGAAATATGTTAAACTTGGCATCAAACTAATGTAAATAAATGTCATCACACAGCTGCAAAATACACATCGACCCATCGACTAGTCGAAAGCAGGTCAGTCTAACACAGAAAGTAAAACAAGCAATAGAATTTATATTTTTCTTATAAGTTATATTGTTCGAATTATTTAGCTAATAATATTCAACATTATGAAGCTCCGTTGCATTATAATAACACTTGCCTTTGTTAACTTTTTGCCAATAATGACAGGTAATTATTTTATTTTAACACTCACTTAAAGTAATAAATAATAAAAAATTCAAAATTTAATTTTTTCCACACAGATCAAACGTACAGTCGGTTTACAAGACAAGTCAGTATCAATTGCTTAAACAATATACATTTTTTTTTCAAATTTTATCGTTTTCATACTTATGTTTTGAATTAATTTTTTACAGGCAAACTCATCAAAATGGCTCATACTACAGGTAAGATACAACCCAACAAAAACTTAAACGTGAAAAAAGGTACATGTTCTAAACCCCTACGCAAAATAAGTCAGCCTTTTAGTAATGATATTTATATTATGGCCAATTCTGCTCTTCCTTAGGCCCATAACCTCACTTCACTCATACATTTGTGAGCAAAACTGCTCTTTTTTTTTTATATTTTAACACTTGTCCAGTTTCTGAATGTTATCATTGCTTTGATAAGTTGATACTTTTCTTCTGAGTTATCTCCTTCCTTCGCCCACGTAGGTCCTATGTGAGTACACGTGATACTAATGTTTGTTCTGGACATTTTTATAAATTATTATGATTTTATTTGAAATTTGTTATACAGCTCAAAACACTATTTGCGTATAGATATTGCTGGATTGGAGAATGTAATTAAAAATATTGTTAATGGAGATGCAACAATAGGTAGTTGTTATTATATAATAAAAAAAAAATTAAATTATAGTTATTAGTGATAAAAAAAAATCCAATATCACTAATTCATCAGTTTATGTTATTTTTATTTCAGAGGAAATTGAACTGAGGTTGGCTATACCGGGTAATAATATTCCTTATAATTGAATATACTTGTTTTACAATCGTTAATAACTAAATTAGGCATATGATATTTTCGTCTTAATTTCAGAATATGCATTCGTTTTCAATATGCCAAGTAATCTATTTGTATATATAATTTCATACTTCTACTACAAATACTTTACACAGATTCATATACACACACGTTTATATATATATTGGACTAATTTTTTCCACCTAAGAATTACATCCAATCGAAAGTAGCCTAATAGGATGAGAAATCTCTAAAATTTAGTTTTTTTTCATTCCATTAACAAGGGAAATTTTAATCAAAAAAATCACGAGGAATTTACTTGGAAGAAGAAACTACTTGGAGTTAAGTTATGAATATAAAAATTGTAGAGATTTCTCATTTGTAAAGACTATTATTAACTCAGGAAGAGGGGGGGGGGGTTGTTATATACAATCTAATATATTACCATTTCTGTCATAAGAATATATGTATAGTTTTATTTTTTATTTTAGATTGGTGTGCCATAGCTAAACAGGAGACAGTGCAAAACAAAATATACCGTTTTACAGGTAAATATTATATAGTTTAACATAGTTTTAAGAACAATTTTCAATATTATTAATTACTCAGTTTTACCTAACTACAATAAATAAATTATTAATATTTAAAATCATGAAGCTATATTATGTCTTTTGATACAAGTCCTGATTATTCAAACCACTGTGCAACATTTTTTTTCATTGATTCGATGATTCGTGTCTACTCTAAAAAAAATAATTTAAGTTTTTATATTTCTTATACAGATATACCTCAGCTTGAACTTAGCCGAAACGAAGGTAACTGATGTAAATAATCCTAGAGACTTAGATTAAAATAGAAATGTACTTAGGTTAAAAGATTTTTAAAAAAAGAAAGTCTTAAAGTCTGAGTCCTTCAAATTAGGAAATACAAACCATTTATTTCCAATGATGTTATTTCAACATTTTATTTCCACAACATGTTAGGTACCGTTATAAAGTGTCACATCAACGTTGAATACTCATAAAATGACTTATACAATATAAGGTGACTATTTTCACTCCACTTTGTTAAGATGACTTTATACCTCTAATTTTCTAATGCAAAAACCTGACTATGCGTTTTACTCAAATAATGTTAATTCCAATCCTAATGCGTTAGTAGTTTTTTGAGTTCCAAGTGTAAAAAGATTTATTTCTTTGAGTTTCAAAACTACTTGCGAATTGCAAAAAAACAATATGTTAAAGTTCATTGAAATATTACATTTTTTTCTTATTAACATTGTAGTTAATTTGTTTTTACAATTATCGGTATTACCATCTTTGGGCGTTTTATATTGAATAAGCTTGGAGAAAATAGAAGAATTATAACTGGAGAAGTTACAAAAACATCACTTCTCGCTGCCATACGTAAATACTAACAATTAGTTTAAATTAGTACCGGTTATGATTTTAATCAATTACCAGACAAATAATTTAATTTTCAATCATTTCCTTTTAAAGTTAATAATACATAAGAATATCATAGATTTATTCGTACCACAGTAGCAGACAAATGTAGTTTTTTTTTATAAAAATACAACTTGGTATAGAATCCACACAACACATAGGATCTATTTGTCTAGACTATTTTTAAAACAAAACGCTTATCCTAACATAAATTAATTGGTAGAATTATGATTGCACCTCGTTGGTCGATTTGAACTTTTTTGGTCCGTCACTTAGGCTATGTTTTCTTACATCAATTATTTTGTGAAATATCTAAGAGATTATGTAATTCACATTAAGAATACTACTAATTGAGTTCCATAACAATTTTTTATTATGACCTTAATTGACACTTTAATGTAGCTATTTTCTATGATATTTTTTATACAGTGTACAGTTTGTACACTTGTCGTGTACAGTTTAAAAAAAAAAATTGTAATTTTTAAGGTGGAGAAGAACCAGCATTCGTCAACCTTAGACGT